CTCGCTCTCTCTCTCTCTCTCTCTCTCTCTCTCTCTCTCTCTCTCTCTCTCTGTGTGTGTTTTGTCTCCCTCTCCGTGTATATCGGTATCTATCGCTCTCTCTTCACTCTCTCTCCGTCCCTCTGTCTCGTTCTCTCTCTCTATCTGATTGACCCTGTTCATATCTCTATACCCCTCCTTTCCTTGGCCGTCGTTGTAGGTGGTGGACCAGTTAATTGACACCTTCCCTCCAGAAAACGCTGGCGGGATTGTCCTCATCAACACCTCGGAATGCCTGATCCTTCTGGGGTCCGTGGTGGGCTGCTTCGAGGGAATCGGACTGGTCCTCCCAATTGAGGTGATTGTGATTCAGGCAGGGTCTACCGTAGGTTGACGTAAGATAACACACCCCCTGGACCGATTTTCAAAGCTCGGTGTCTTGGCAGGAACAGCAGCGACGGTGTCGAGTATGGCGACGTTGGGAACGTCTCGTCGAGAGCTTTCCGAAATCGTGTACTTCATTATCGGCATCCTCTTCGTCGTGGAGTAATCGAGCTTTAAAAATCGGTCCAGGGGGTGTGATATATTATCCGAGCTACGGTTCAGAGGGTATTCCGTGTCGTGATTCGGCATTTTTTAGCGGAAGAAGCGTTACGCTGATGAGTAGCTTGCGTGCGACGAAATGTTTGAAACAGGCGGTCGTTTGAGACGATTCTCTTGTGCTAGTTTCAGCGAGGGAACGTCGGGTTGTGATCCAGCCGGTCGGAGTTTTTTTTCAGCTTCGTCATTCCTTCAAGCGGCTCGAACGGGTGGGCGGTCACTAGTGCTGCCTTCCACCGCGCCACTGGTCCATGTTGATGTCAACTAGGGGACCTTACCATATTCGCGCAAGCTACGCACAGTCGATGGACAACATCTAACACAAGACCTAGACACCACCGCGAGCATGTGATGAGATTTTCTATGTGCGCAAGAGGCCGAGCTTGATTTTGTCACGCAATTGTCACGCAACCCCCGGGCAGTCGTTTTCTGGCAATGCCTACGCCAACAAGCTTCAATGTATGGTTGCGGTCCCGGTATGTTGCCGGTGGAGTCCAGCAGATTTCACCGGCATTTTTTATTGCGGCAACCGGTATTGTTGAGTCTGAAACAACTTAAATATCCCCTGTGTGCCAGACGATTTCACCGGCATTACACCGGGCGACCGGCATTACGCCGGGGCCACTACTGTATGGTTCAGCAAGTCTTGTAGACTGACTCGTTCGAGCGTCGGACAACCGAGCAGGACGCCATGGACCTGAAGGTGCGACACCGGCTGCCGGCCGCGCTGTGTTGGACCATGGTCGGCATCACTACTTTTTTCGTCATCTTCGGAGCGGCGGGGTACCTCACCTACGAGCAAGAAGTGGCCAGTTTCATAACGATGGTGAGAAGGTGTGAGGTGGCTGAGAAGACTATTCAGAGGAAGGGCTTCAGTTCTGTCCTGTTCTACGTGCAGCGGGAAAAATGACCAACACATCGATTCACAACACTGGTTTTCTTGCTACACCACCACCGCATCGGGTTCTCCGAAGCAGAAACCAGGAGAATTGTGGAACAAATCCCCCACTCCGCCGGAGGATGGGCGTCGTTCATGAGAGCATTGGGCATTGACGTGTGGGTGCTCTTGTCGCCGTGCACGACACGCGGTCACCGAGCTGTGTATTGCTTGAAACTACGTAGTGTCCAGTTCTTCCTTTTATGGCTGGTAAAGAGTTGATCAACACGGCCTGCGCACAACTGGCTATTCCACGACGGCTATCATTTTTTCTCTTTGCAGGATTTGCCGCAGGACACGGTGGCCGCAACGATCGTGCGGGTTATGTACAGCGTGGGCCTTATCTTGACGTCGCCCCTTCAACTCTTCCCCGCCATCAAGGTCAGTTGAACTCTCTTGCGAGTTTGGAGCAAGGCTGGAGAGGGGCAGTGCAAATATGCTGCTTCTTTTTGTAGTAGCGTGTCTTTCACGGCTATCGCAAATTGGATTCGTGAGCTGCTGCTGTTGCTGCTCACATGCTGGTGGCCGGTTCCCCTCGTTTTCTTTGGCGGCCGTTATCGGAACTTGGACTCGTTTTGGAACGGCTCTGGAACAATGTTGGCTCCAACGAATTACATGGCTCTAGGTTGCGTGCTCAATCATAAACGGATTGGCGGGTAAAATGTTTGATTTGCCGTCGCCGTTCTTGAGGACCAGCAGCTCGCAGATCCCCCCGGAACGTGCTGAATGATTTGTCGGCGTGAGGCACACTCAATTTTGTCGCCGTGCGTCGTAAGCGGTAGTCACATGTCGTACGTCCGGACGTTGTGGTTGCTCCGTGGCCATGTAGGCGTCGTGTGTTTTTTTCTCAACTCCACGGCACGCATCCACCAGGTTCTGGAGAGACTTTTTTGGCCGGTTGTGCCGAGGGGCTCCAAGAAGGACATGCTGGACCGGACGAGGAAGTGGCTCAAGAACTTGCTTCGCTCGGTGGTGGTGGTCTTCACCGTCCTCGTGGCGCTGGTGCGTTTTGTGCAATGCGGCAGGGAATTTTGCTGTGCACGGAGCGGACAGTCCGTGAGCGAAGTCCATCGTTCACAAGGGGCTGGCAATCATCGTTGGTGCACATTATTTATTTCGCTGGGTCCATGGCGTCGTAAGGCCAATGCAGTGATGTGGTCGAATTGAACAATCGCCGCGCACTTGGCAAACCGAAACAACTCGGCCAAGCCAGGAGAAATTGTAAGAAGCACTTGCTTGGAACCTGTTCCGACCTCGGAAAGTCCTTGTCTGAAGCGAACCTGACTCTCTATCTGTCCGATCCGCACGCAACACTGCAACTGTTTGTTGCATGGCAGGTGGCGGGCAGCCGCTTCGACAGCTTCACCGGCATCGTGGGAGGCCTGTGCTCGGTGCCTCTAGCCCTCGTCTACCCCATGCTGTTCCACATGAGCCTCTTCGGCGAGCTCGACAGCCCCCGAAAGCAGGCGATGCACTGGGTGTTGCTGGTCGGAGGCGTGTTGTCCGGGGTGGCGTCAACGGTGGTTGCCATGATGCTGTAGTCGTACATAAAAGAATAGACAGATGGCTCCGCTGTGTGTTTGATGGATTTTCGGCTCAGTGAAGCATTAATGTGAAACGGAATGCGGCTTTTATATATCTGGGCAGAAAGCGTATTCACGCCCGGTCCGTTCGACGTCTTTATTTCTGACGCGAGGAGTGAAGTTATGTGGAGTTAAAAAAACCGGGATTTTTTTGCCTTGACACGAAAAGCACCTTGAGCAACGTAAACGATATGCTGTGTCGACTTGGAGCATGTTAAGAACGGCAAGGGACTGTGTAAGGGCATATATCGAGAAGAGTGAACGCGGAGTGGCGGGGCGGGGCTTTCTCGCCACGGTTGACGTTATTTTTTCGCCGTCTTCGCCATTTTCCAGTGAAGCCTTTCCTAAAATTGCAACTCCGTCTTGTTCTTTGTCGTGGAGGTCATCGGCTTGGCCTTCAAATGTACATGTTTTCATATGTTTTGTACGTGCAACGCTGGAAAAGAGTATGTTTGTTGTCGTGACTGATTTGTGGTAAAACGGTTTAAACGTTGATAGACTGCTGGTCCCGAAATTGCCGGAACGAGAGGTGACGACGGGTCGGGGTGTAGGGAGACTACGTGCGGGGAGACTGCGTTGTGTGGAATGAAAATGTATTCGTTGGTGCTGATCAAGGGGTTCCAGCCCGCTTACTCGGTTCTCGGCGATATTGCTGTTCACCATTTCCTTGGATCTAGGAGCATAGCATTGGTGGGAGAAGTTCGAGACATCATCAAGAAGACTCCCGGATGTCAGTCCGGAAGCGGGAGAGGGGATAGGGAGGCTTGCCAAGCAAGAAAAGTGCGGGTTGGGCGATTTGAGCAATCCAATTTGTGCGGGAAAAACGTTGGGACGGGATGGGACACATGGGGCAGCAGTGGTGGAGGGAAAAAGGTAGAAAAAGGATTTGATGCAATCAAGAGGTAGGAGATAGCCCTAGGTGGTTCAGGATGTAATTCGTTGGGGAAAAACGAAGTACTAGTGGGAAGCGAGAGTGGAACCGATCGCGCGCATAGTGGTCGTTACGTGGGGGTCATCACAATTGCGCGCAGATCGTCACAAAAAAAGTATTCGGGGATTTGATCATAGGTCGAAGCGCCCCGCTGCACCGTGGCCACATGCTCTTTGTTTGAGAGCACCACCCCTTGGCAGGTGTTTGCTTCTTGAAGGGACCGCACAGTCAGCACACGGCGATGCAGGCGTGAGTAGCGATTTTCGCTGTCCCTTCACCTCGTCGTTCGTCCTGGAAGAAGCCGTCGTTTGAAAAGTATTGAAACAAACATTAGGTAGGGACTGTTTCACCCCACATCAGTGTGCACCCCGAAGACAGCTTAGCACAGCTGACTACATTCAAAACGAATGGGTGGGAAGGGGATGCACCCTTAAACGGTGAATGCAACAACGTCCCTTGGTCAGACCGCAGCGGCTCCCATCCGTATAATCCTGCGAGTCGGAGGAACGAAACGCTTGCGCTGTACACTTGATTCGTTGATTTCATTCTCACTACAACAGCACCCACCTGGTAATTTTCAAAAAAGGTCAATATCTTCTCGAATTCTGTATGCGATCCGCCGATCATGATCGATCGTCTGTCTACTTCAAAGTTCTTTCTACGGCTATTCTTGGCACCCTCCCTCGCGAAGAAAAAGAAAATCCAAAATTGATGACAACTTTAGCCCTACTGTACATTCCCCGACCTCGAAAGCCATGAACGGTTTCTCTGGGGCATATGGGGTGAAGTTCTTGGGCAAGTGACGCCAGCATTCGAGGTATCCCCGGTCGCGGTGTTTCCCCTCGGTCGCGGACACTGTCAACTTCGGTTGGGAATTCGTCTCGAACATAAACGCGAGTCCCTTGTCAAACTTCACAGGAAGAGGCCTGCTCCATTCAGTCAGGCGATTCACAAGCAGCTGTTTGAAATGAGTGATTACTGCTGTGGCGCAGATGATGGTAGACACGGATCGTCTTGTCGCAAAGCGGGGATGACACTCTCGCGTTCCATGAAGAATAGTTCTTACTACCAAAGCATCACGGGATTTTGTACCTTTTCGTCCGAGGCCCCAACAAAAGTTGCGGCGTCAGGTCCATGCGCGCTCATGTAAGGATGAAGGCTAGAGCCCCCCGGTAAGAAACCTTCTTTCGCGTCATACTTTTCCCATACCATGCCCATGAACTCCGCCATGGTGTTCCGGTGATACCACGGTGGCCGAAAGGTGCCTTCCGCCACCATCCAGCGTGGCGGGAACACGACGAAGTCGACGACGGCCACGCCGGGGGTTGCCGCGGACGGGCACGTCAGAACGGTGTAGATGGACGGGTCCGGGTGGTCCTTTGAAACGGAGTTGATGCAGATGAACTTCCGCAGGTCGTACTTGTAAGGCGTCATGTTGCCGTGCAAGGCCACCACGCCGAACGGGGAGTGGTCCACGGCAGAAGAGAAGAGTTTCCCGCCAAACTTCGTCAGGACCATATATATATTGTACGTCCCGGTCCTCATACCATGCCACCGGTGATTCAAAGTCGCGTGGGTTGGCCAACCCATTGGAGCCGATGGGTCCCAGTTCAGGCAACAGGAAGTGCCCTTCGAAAGTCTCCAGCACGTAGCCGCGTGCGCCCAACTCGCCGATCCCGCGATCCACGCTAAATTTCACACCGCGGGGGATCACCAGAATTGCACTGGGACTACCAGCAGGATACCCATCTCTGTTTTCACACGGAGAGATCCTTGCTGAGGCACCAGGAGCATCTCCCCGTCCGCGTTGTAGAACACTTTGTCGCCCATGTCCGAGTTCATCGCGAAAAGGTAGATCCCAAGCCCGCCCTTTGCCGCCGGGTCACCCACCCCGCTCATTGTTGAATGCCCTCGATGAAGTCCACCCGCATATATATCTTGTTGTCTCGAAGGAATGGGGAGTGGTAACCAACGCATCTGCGACGGGTCGTTGTTCATGGATTTGAAATCATTCTCGAAAGGGTCCGCAGCGACGGACTGGAAAGGTCGGTGTAAAACGGAGGGGCGGATCCTGTAGCACCGTGTTCTCCTGTTTCTCGCGCGAGGCGCCGTGAAGGCTGTGCCCGATATTTGCTCCGCGTACAGGCCGTAGGGGCATCTCTTGGGGTTGTTCTCCCCTGCAGGCAGTGTACCCGCGGGAGCGCCTCCGTCGAAAAGTGATTGCCGAAACCACTGTTGTATGAAACGCAGCACTGCCATGCCTGGCAGATCCGTTGTTGTCAACACGAGCGCTGCCATCCCTAGCAGACCCGTTGTTTTTGACAACACGAGACGGCTGTTGTTTCGGGTCAGTGTTTAGTCGAGGTCGCCAATAGGAGGTGTTGCTTGCAGGCATTGCTCCATCCCGTGCACACTGAGGCGAAGGAGAGGCGTTGTGTGGCGTCCGTCAGCGCTGCCAGGCGTGCGGTCACTTCCACGCTTGCGACCAGAGGGTTCTCCATGTCGCCATGTGTAGACCCGTCAAGTTTCCGCCATGTGTGTTCCCTAGGCAGATAGGGCGGAGGATGGCGGTGTTGGTATTGTTGTACATATATATGTGGGTCGCACTACCTACAGGCCAGTAGAATTCCGCCGCCAGTGCTAAGGGCGCAGGGGGAAGAAGCGCCTTACAGTCTTACTGTACTGTAGGGGCATCACACGCAAGGAAAAATTCCCGCTCGAGACTTGGGGTACTGGAAGAGCTGGCATCATTCCCACATGTGAATTGTTTGGCAGAAATATTTCAGTCTAGAAAAAGAAGAAAAATATACGAACATCGTCAGTTGGTCCGCAAACGTTCTGTCAAGCAGTGTATCAAACTTTTGTCGACAGGTAAGACATCTATCTCTCTGGGACCGCCTACGCGGGATTTTAAGAGATTTTAAGATTATCTAGAAAAAGAACAGGGAGGGGGCACGCAGACCCTATCCCTATCCCTAACCCTAGCCCCAAAGCACGGACGGATTGAATACTTTATCTCATATGTTTGCTTAATCGATTTTGCTGCGTAGACTAACGGGACCGCCTACGCGGGATTTTAAGAGATTTTAAGATTATCTAGAAAAAGAACAGGGAGGGGGCACGCAGACCCTATCCCTATCCCTAACCCTAGCCCCAAAGCACGGACGGATTGAATACTTTATCTCATATGTTTGCTTAATCGATTTTGCTGCGTAGACTAACGGGACCGCCTACGCGGGATTTTAAGAGATTTTAAGATTATCTAGAAAAAGAACAGGGAGGGGGCACGCAGACCCTGTCCCTAACCCTAACCCTAACCCCAAAGCACGGATTGAATACTTTATCTTATATGTTTGCTTAATCGATTGCACGCAGACCCTATCCCTAACCCTAACCCTAACCCCAAAGCACGGATTGAATACTTTATCTCATATGTTTGCTTAATCGATTTTGCTGCGTAGACTAACGTCTCTTTTTAATGTACAATCTAAACGGTGGTTCCGGCGTACGGCTATTTCCGAGACCTTTTCGTCCATACCGCGCCCTAGGCACGCGCCGACTCTATACTGCAACCACATGCAGCTGTGATTCAAGAACGTATTTTGTTCATCGATGCACAACTCATTTCCGCGAAAGAAAGTGACGATGCACGCAGTATCACACGCGTCTGTCTGATCACGCCCAGTAGTAGTGACGTTATGGCCCACGGGTACACAAATGGTGCCGGAGCCGGCATTATTTTTACAAAAAATATTTTGGCTGGTTTTGTTGGCCAGCTCGTTTCGAACGAACTAATTCACAGTCGGAACACATCCATCCATCGACGACAAGTGAAGGCGTGACCAACAAATTGGTCATCAGTGAAAAAAAAAATGATGAGTTCACAAAATAGGAGGGAATGAACGCGCTTCTTGGAAAACTAGTGTAGAGTATGTCATCTCGGTCGTCTTCATGTTCATTTTCATTCATCATACATACGGTAGTTGGCATCTGGCATCCACCTTCACATTTTTTCAAGGAAGTTCGACTTTTGGTGGGCTGTTTCACTCTGTCTGTCCGGCTGACGCCATTGAACTGTGAGTGGCCAGTATACTGGGATTTGGAGGTAGCAATCTAGAGGTGTACATCACTCGGTACCGGACGTTTTTAGATGGCGATGCTGGAGTTCTACCGCACCACATAATAATAGTCTATCCTACGGCATTTGATTCTGATTCTGCATTCACGACGTTCATGCGCAGCGTCAAGACTGCTTGAAAGAAGCAGCAGCACCCTCGATGTATGTATTTCCACAGCTGCTAGCTCCAGAAACGAGATTTGCATGTATGTGAGCTGATTCAGGATCATTTAATTATGGGGAATATCTTTTCTACAGTGACTGGTGTCGTCGGCAGGACTGGAATCGCTGCAAGTGAAATCACGATGCGTTCCGAATCCATTCCCACGCCCACCATCGCTCTCTCAGCAGACATGGATTACCACCTCAAATAACCCAGCCGGAGTGGAGAGGACGAAAAGGAGGGGGGAGCAAACGTTGAACAACCAAATTCGGCCTAAACCTCGGGTCCGCTACCTACAGTGACGCACGTGCTGATTGCAAGAGATCTGGCCTTGGGAGAAAGTCATGCAGTCTTAACTGTGCCGTGCACACCGTTCACTGACTGGGGGGAAAGTTTCGAGACCTTCATATTACAGTAAGTGGGGGCGATGTTCCTTATGAAATAGCTGTGGACGCAGGAAGGGGATGTGAGCCGGTTTGGGTAGTAAGCAGAGTCAATTGACTTCCTACTTTCCGGCCATTCTTCGTTCCCTTGTCTTCAACGGCATGTCTTCAAACATTCCGGCTTGGATCGTATTTCTACTGACCGTGCAGTCCTCCCTTCCCCGCTCCGATCCGGGGTCACACGGAAGAATTCTTTCGTGGGCCTTGATTTCATTCCATGCTTTCATTCGATACACGGAAAACAAAATCATTCCATTTTGCCGCCTTCCTCACGAACAGGACTCCTGATCATTGAACAACGATTGAGTGCTGCAACACCGTGGGTCAAAATCGCGCTCAAAAGTTCTAACACGTTTGCAAGACAGGCTGCAATGAGAGCTGGCGTCCTTTGGGGACATCCTTTCCCCATGGTTCCACCAAGAGGACAAAAAAAACGCTTGCATCGCCGAAGTGCAATCAATCTACTCCAGGTCTGCGAGCTCCAGCCATCGCTCGGTCTTGGTCTCTGTCTCGAGTTCTATTCTCGCCTGCTCCTCCATCCATGCAGCAATTTCATCGTACCTGCAACAAACAGAGCGGCAGCGCCTTAGAAGTGGGCGGGTAGCCCATAAGTCGCAGCTTCACACTTCATATATTCGCAACACACATCACTAGTTCAATTCCACACGGGGACCTGTTCTCTACGTCAGCAATCACACCCTCCCAGAGAACCTGGCCAGGAAGATGCGACACTAGACCCTACCCAACAACGGATTATCACGGATATGGAGAAAAGAGGGCAATTCCATGGATGAGGATATCATTGTACACCCCACAAACAAAGGGGGTGGAGGTATCCTATAGTTTTTGCATCTGCAGTGGGGCAACATTTACACCTGCCGGTATATAACCACGCAGCTGGAAAAAAGCTGGAGTGGTTCGTTTGCCGTCTTCCTGAAAACTGTGCGCTTGATTTCTCGCCGAACTAGTCTATATTCGTTTCCGATAACCAAAGCATGCGTCCTAACTCACCCTGCCGAAGGGTTTTCTGCCTCTGCCGCTAGCAGCGCGTCCAGCTCTCGCCCTCTCTCCCCCAGCGACTCGATGTCTTTTTCCAAGTTGCTGAACTCAAACCTCTGCTTGTTCGACATCTTCTTGGTCTTCTTTTGCGGAGAGGGAGTGGGTGGGGTAGGTGCATCCACCGCCTGCGAGGACCCCTTGTTTTGGGCCGCCTCTTCCGCCTCTAGCTTGACCGCCGCGGCTTTGGAGCCCCCGCCGCCTCCGGTCTGAAACGTAAACAGTCAGTCGCGTGCGGGGCGCACAAAGACGTGATCTCTGACACATGGCGAGGCAACCTTCACATTGAGAATACACGAAACTCTCCCGTTTCAACTGTAAATGAACTTGGCACATGGAAGGAATAGAAACGACCCTGCCGGTCTGTGGAAAGGGGACCCTCTTCACATGTTAAGAATACAAGAAACTCTCCCGTTTCAAATGGAGATGTACATGGCAACAAGAACTCAAACAGGAACACCCGCGCCGCATTCCGCGTCCCAGGTTCACATGACGTATGATGCCCGGCATCCGAAATGCCGACCGGAAGCAATGGCTTGACCAGAGCTACAATTAGCGCCAACGTACCCCAGGCTTCATAAAGTCTTGTCGGTAGTCAAGGTACTCGGTGAAGGTGCCCTGGAAATCGCGCACAACGCCGTCCCCCTCGAACAAGAACAGGTGTTTTGCGACCTTGTCTACGAAAAACCTTCAGGAAGGCAGGCATGCCGGGGGGTGGAGACGGTGGTTGGTTAATTATTCGCCATGCATCGCGGAAGCCTTCATGCAGACCACACGACGGTGAAGGTGCCGGTCGGCCAAACTTCGAGGAAAACAGCACAGGGACACGGAGTATGAAGGCGGAGCACAAACATCTAGACTCCCCCTTGTTTACGAGGGTGGGAAAAGAGCCCTCACCTGTCGTGGGACACGATGACGAGGCACCCCTTGTAGTCGTTCAGCAGGAAGTCCTCCAAGATCTGGAGCGAAAGGATGTCCAGGTCGTTGGTGGGCTCGTCAAGCACCAGGAAGTTGGGGTTCGTCGCCAGGACCTTGAGAAGCTGCAGCCGCCGCTTCTCGCCGCCGCTGAGCCGGCCGACTCGGTCGTTCCACCTCGCCGCTGGGAACTGGAACAAGTTTAACAGGCGCCGCGCCTGTACCTGTGGAGGAACCGGCTCCTCGTCTTCGCCCACCTCCGCGCCCGCGCACTGCCGATTAGCGGAGCAAGCACACGCGACGGCAAGGGAGGGGAGACAGCGAACAATGGCGTCGACAAATGGGGGAGATTTGATGAAGGACCAGGCGTAAAACAGTCAAGTTTTATGGGAAAGCGATCGAATTGTTACGGCCTTTGGTTAGGGTGTGAGAAAAAGCGTCACGAGGAGATTCGAAAGAGAAACATAAAACGTGTGCTCCTTTCTCGAATGATGAAAATAACAGGGTGTGCGTATTTTCCCCCTTGTTGTTGCTCTCGTGTTGAGACACTCGTCGAGGGGATAAAACAACTCTCTTTCCCTCGGGCATGAAGACGCGGCTCTTG